ACTGGACGCGCGATTGGCAAGAGCCACAATTCGTCCTGGGAGAACTGAACTGAACTGACTAAAATGGTTGTGCGTTTAACACGTTTCCTATCCAGATGGATCACGTGAAAAACAGTACCATCGGCCTAGTTGCCGGCATCAACGGTAATTGTGATTATTCACGCAACGAAATGTTACTAATTCTTAGGTGGAATAGCTACTGTGTATGTTGGACAGCCGTTAGATACGATAAAAGTTAAGATGCAGGCCTTCCCCGAAGTTTACACAAATGCTTGGAATTGTTTCAAAGTCACTCTGTTGAAAGACGGTATTGCCCGAGGACTTTATGCTGGAACGGTCCCTGCACTTGTAGCCAACGTGGCTGAGAATGCTGTTCTTTTTTGCGCCCTCCCTCCAATTCAACACCTCGTCTGTCGACTGGTAGGAAAGGAACGTCATGATCAACTTTCAGTTTTTCAACACGCATGTGCCGGGAGTCTGGCTGCCTTTTGGTCCAGTCTGATTCTTTGTCCCACCGAACTTGTAAAGTGCAAGGTGCAGTCTCTCCGGGAAATGGCAGAGCTAGGTCAAATAAAGTTCAACGCTTCTGAATTGTAAGTTGAATAGAAATCCGATCTCATCCGCGGTATTCCACTTCTAACATAACTGAGTCAACATCTGGATAGTGCCATTTTTACTTCTAAGTGTTGAGCCTATGTTTCATTTGCGTTTTTCAAGATAACGCTGCATTCAAATAGTTGTCTGATTTAGAACACAATTTCAGGCGAACAATTGTTTTCAATAACTCATAATCATGGCATTACAGTTTATATGGGGGAAAAATCCTAGGGGTTGGGAGGAGAACAATAAAATATGTATGCGTGTCTGTGTTCGCGTGTGTGTGTGTGTGTGTGTGTTGCACACCGCATATTCAAATCTGTGCTTCCGGGGTTTGCAGTTGTGTCAGGACGGTCGTGTGACCCAGTTCTGAGGGATCGGTGTTGTTGTGTGAGAATGTTTGTGTATGTGGAAAAGGGAGGCATGGGGGAGGAGTGGGTTCGCGAACCCAGGGGAGATGGAGTGTTCGGATAAGACGTTTCTGGGGGTCAAATGCTTAATACAGATGTCTGATTGGCAGCCCCAAGATCAATCAGTATCTACTTTTAGGGATCACGGAATCATTGTCGTCAACGATTAAAGACAGTGGTACGGCTGAGTTTTGTCAACAGTAGCGCTCGTACGTCATCTCACTTTCTGCGTATCATTAGTCTACAGATATTCTCGATTTTCTCTTCGTCCCTTCTTGTCATTCTCCTACTGCTTCGTCCTTATGAGCAAGGGTGGTGGCGCAGTGGTTTAGTCGCTGTGCTTCGGACCCTGTGATCCGAAATTCGATCCCCGCCGCCCGACTTTGGTGGTAAGCAGCTCTGCTGTCGTCCGGTTCAATATCACGCCTAACATATCGGGGCCGTATGTGGTTCGCCACTCCAAGTCCCGGGGCTTAGGTTGCCGGTTTCCACCACTGAACAGCATTTCCTCGTGAATATGGGGTTCGCCCCGTTTGCTGTTCATCACACTTAGGTGTTTAATAGTAAACCATAAGACAGCGACGAAGACCGGCTTACGAAATTGCTTGGTTAATGGTTATACTGAAACTGTAACATCTACTTTAGGAGCAGGAAACTAAAGACATCTAGGAGAACCTTTTTTCAACCCAACAATGTGTTGGGCAGGGAACAGTAAAATAATTTTCTTTTTCTCAATACTATTTTTAGTTATAAACAACACTGGCAGACAACCTTTTGCTGAGTTTCCATTCCGAAGGTGTGTGCACTTGTGTTAACTTATCCACCCTGGATCGTACGTAGCTGTCATAGGTACTTGAGCACTTGGATCTACTCACCAGTCTGCAAGCCATTCAAACTGCGCTCTCAGCAGTTCCTTTGAAGCTCTCCTATCCTGAACGTGGGTTGGGTAGGCGAATTCTTCAGTGAGTCTTAGTATACTCTTCTAAATTATTTGTTAGCCTTTCTCAATTCTTTCAAGAGGGGCGGTGGGATTTATTGGCCTAATTCTCATTGCGTCTGGTCCTTAAGCTGTCACACGCACCATCAACCAATAATCGCACTGTTGCTTGACCTGAGCGAAGTCTTCGACACGGTTGACCGCAAAGCTGAATGGATTCCCTTCTGCGAAAAGGAAGTTGAGTGCTCACTTTACTCATACCTTTTTTGCACAATGTGAATAACAGCAAAAAGGGAAATCCCCATACACAAATAGCATACTGTAAAAAGGAGAGTATGGGAACATCGTCATCATTATCGTCATTGTACAGCGTAATACAGTGAAGCGAACTTCACTAACCGCTTTTCAGTTTCAGTTTAAATAACCATTAAGCATGCATTTCCATGCGACGCTCTTGGTTGCTAATTTGGGTGAACAATAGGAGGAAAACAGGAAGGTTGAAAATAGGATCGAAGAGAAAATTGAAAAGTTCAGTGGACTAATAAAGCAGAGAAATTGAGAAGATGCACGAACGCCACTGTTTACGACACCCAGCCATATCACTCAGTGTCTCTAAGCATCGTGTGTGACCATCCCGAAGGTCCCCAGCCAGGAATCCTAACGGGACCTATGTGACGCAGACTCCTGGTTAGGGTTTTCATATCCTCATGCCAGATCTTAACTTGACCGCCCTGGGCTTAATTCCACCCACTACCTAACTCGGCAAACATCGCTCGCCGTGGCAACCTATTTAGGGACACGCGTAACACATTCCCTAACCAACGTGATCAATGGAGGTCTACCACTTGCTCCAGGGGGCGACCACGGTTGCCTAAAACTGTGCGACTAACCTCCGCATTGCTCGTCCGGCTGCCCCACCAGATTCGTGCAATGCTGCGTAGACAGCGATGTTCAAACACCGACAGTCTATCCTTATCCTGTTTTCTTGATGACCAAGTTTCTGCCTCATAGTAGAACTGGCCGAACTGCTGCAGCACACACTCGACCCTCAATAGACAGTCGGATGTCGCGACGGCGCCACAGATGTCTCAAGTTAGCAAATGGCAACTGTATGCGAGCTGGCTTTTCATCCGTAATGCGTCCACCTGGTGAGATGATCACTGATCGCTGCCAAACTCATATTGTATACAAGGTAA